CGTGGCTCTGAGCCTCAGCAACTAGTGACGCGAAAAGATGACGGTCTAGGATTGGCTACAGCTGAACTACCGCGCTTGATTTAAAGCTCAATGCTGAGGCGGGTTGCAACTAGCTCCTCCCTCTGGATTCGCCCCCTTTGGCTGACCCAATCCGCTGATGCCATTCTCCCAGGCCCTACCCAGATTCCCAATCTGAGTAGTTTAGTGGTCCCAGCTCTGTGACCAATCTGGGTTTACAATTCGTTGAGTACCTTACTACGTCGGGGGTACTGTGTTTAAACACTTTAAACTATTAGTTGTCTTATTTAATCATAGCAGGAACAATACTAATGAGATTGGTGTTATCGGCCCCATTTCGTAGGAAAAAAAGCAAGGTACAGGGAAAGTGTGACTTGCTTAGAAAGTTACATGACAAGTTAGTAATGGAAAGCAGTATGCTTCATTTCCTGCAGCCGACTTAGTGAAGGATAACTGGCAGACTGAAAGGTTGCGCTTTCTTAACCCTGGAACATCATTCATTCCACCATGGCCCTGTCTACAGTGATAAGAATGGAGGCGGAGGAGTTATTTGCATATAGATTCAGGCACAGTAACCAGGAAACATTTCTAGGAAGGACTCTTACTCCAATCTCTCAAGGTTCAGGCAGGTTGAAATCTTTGTTGCTATAGACCGAGACCTGAAGAATAGCAATTCCAGACATGGTCTTTCCCATTATTAGCTGAATGACCTAAGCCAAGTCATGTAGCCTTCTAAGAGCAAATGTAAAATGAGAACGATGTTAATATCCACCTCTTAAGGATGTTGTGAGAATTAGAAGTCATTAGTGATGTGCCTGGCTCTTGCTAGCATTAAATGGTTAAATGGTTACCATACCTTGTATCATTGTGACTGGAGTTGGGATAAGAGGAGGGAAAACTTCTATAGGGTCTTTGCAGTCAGGACTATGGCCTGACAAACCCAGGCAAGTTACTTGTGTGACTTACTCATTCATTAAACAAATATTCATTGAACACCACTAATGTGCAAGGTTTTATACTAGGTCCTAAGGACAAAAAATATATATAGTCTCTGATCATGGTGAAACACACCTGTAATCCAATCACTCGCAGTGGGGCAGAGGCAGGAAGATCTGTAATTTGAGGCCAGCGTGGGATACAAAGAGAGACCTTATCTCAAAAAAAAATTTTTTTCTTTTTGTGGTTACTGGGGTTTGAAGTCAGGGCCTCCTACTTGCTAGGCAGATGCTCTACCACTAGAACCACTCTGCCAGCAGTTTTTTTGAGTTGGGTATTTTCAAAGCAGGGTCTCTAGAACTATTTGCCTGGGGCTGGCTTGATCCTCCTGATCTCTGCCTCCTGTGTAGCTACAATTACAGGAATGAGCCACTGGTGTCCAGCCCCCCAAAAAAATTTTTTTATGTAAAAAAGTGGAATATGGTGGTGTTAGCCTCTGGCTGGTGAGTGTTTGCTCCTTCCTTCTCCCCTTCAAAGTAGTTTTTTTATTTATTTACCTACTCACTTACTTATTGTGATACTGGGGATCGAATCTAAGGGCCTTGCACATGCTAAGCAAGCATTCTACCACTTACCTGTACGCCACCCCCAGCCTGAGAAATGCAGCTTTATGTAGTTAAGTCTCATTTTCACACTGGGGTGTGGTGGTACTCATCTGTAGTCTCAGCTACTCAAGAGGCTGAAGTGGAAAATCATGAATTTGAGGCCAGTCTTGGCAACATAACAACTCTCTCAAAATTCTGAATCTTTAAGCTTTTATTCAAAACAATATAATCAAATAATCGTTTTTGTTGAAATACTTGATGATTTCATGGTCTTCTCAAAAACATAGTACTTTGGGGGTGGGGAGGATGCAGTACTGAGGTTTGAACTCATTGCCTCACACCTGTAAAGCTCTACCACTTGAGCCATGTCTCCAGACCTTTCTTAGTACTTTGATATTCCAAACATCCTCTCTAGAAATCTACTGTTCTTATCTTTGGTTTCCCCTTTTTTTGGTTAATTGTCAAATCCTCGCTTTTCAGTGGCTTTGGGTATGGTTTGTGAATTCCTACACATCACTTTGTTTCATAAAATGTTGCATCTTTTTCAGAAATTGCAATTTCACTTTGCAATGTATATGCACTGAATTGTTCAGTTATTAAACAAAGAGGTAGAGAATGTTAATGTTAAGCAGAGTGAGATATTAGGATCAAGGTGGTTTGGTTTTCTTTTTTTAGTGCTTCTACCTCTGAGCTACACCCTCAGCCCCAATTATTTTTTTTCTTTCGGTGGTACTAGGGTTTGAATTAGGGCCTTGTGTTTGCTAAGCAGGGGTTCTACCCCTTGAGTCAGGCCTCTCGTGCAGCCCAAGTACAATTTTTAAATAGTTGATTAGCAAATTATTTCCTGTTATAATGACTTTTGCTTCCTATTATAGACTGAGGGTACCCTCTACCCTCAAAATTCCTATGTTGAAGTCTTAAGCCCAACAACCCAGAATGTGGCTGTATTTGCAGATAGATCTTTAAGGAGGTAATAAAGTTAAAATGAGGTAATTAGGATGGGCCCTAATCTATGATTGATGTCTTTATAAGAAGACATTTGGGGGCTAGGAACGTGGCTCAAGTGGTAGAGTACCTGCCAAACACTCCGAGTGTGAACTGCCCTCAGTACTATCCTACCCTCTAAAAAAAACAACCCAAGAAGAAATTTGGACCCAGACGCATACAGAGGGAAGACAACAAGAAGACGTTTGAAGAAGATAGCTATCTTTTAGCCAAAGAGAGAGGTCTGAGACAGACTCCTCTTAGTTCTCAGAAGGAACCAATCTTTTTTTTTTTTCTGTTGGCACTAGGGTTTGAACTCAGGACCTCATGCTTGTTAGGCAGGCACTCCTACCACTTGAGCTACTCCACCAGCCCAGAAGGAACCAATCTTAAGCCAGTGTGGTAACACACTTGGGAGGCTGAGAAGATAGGATCACTTGTGTCTGGGAGTTAAGACCCAGGTTTTGGAACAAAGCAAAACCCTGCCTTAAAAAGACAGTGGGAGAAAAAAAAATTCATGTCTTTTTCCATCTACTTTTTTTTTTAATTTTTTTATTATTCATATGTGCATACAATTCTCCCCCCTGTCCCCATCCCCTCCCTTACCACCCACTCCATCCCCTCCCTCTCCCCCCCATCCCCTCCATACCCAGCAGAAACTATTTTGCCCTTATCTCTAATTTTGTTGAAGAGAGAGTATAAGCAATAATAGGAAGGAACAAGGGTTTTTGCTA